ATTGGAGAAGGCTGAGAAAAACCTGTCTTTTTGCCAACCCAAAAAGCCAAGAGAACTTTTTTTTGGGGGGTAGCCCTGGAGCAGGCTGCAGAGACCTCATTCCTGCCTCATAAAAGAGCACCAAACAAAATAGTGGCCCCATAGGAGAACCGGTTCAGGGGCGTTGCAGACATGGGTCGCTGCCAGTTCCAGCAACCCAGGTTACCAAGTTACTACTGGTTCATTTGAACCGGTCCGAACTAGTAGGAACCCACCTCTGTTCTCAATGCCACCAGACATGCTTCGGGCTGATTACGACCACCCCCTCAGTGCCACTCAGTCTGTTTCATGCTCTTTTATGAGGCAGGAATGAGGTCTCTGCAGCCTGCTCCAGGGCTACCCCCCCAAAAAAAAATTCTCTTGGCTTTTTGGGTTGGCAAAAAGACAGGTTTTTCTCAGCCTTCTCCAATCATGTGAGCTCTGAGGGGAAAATGTTAAGAGGGGCTCTGAACTACTACAAAGCATAGAAATCTCACTCCTGCCTTACAAGCATAGGAATAATTGTGAAGCACATTTAAGTGATGCTTTGTTGACAGCTTCATCAAAGCAAAACACCCCTTCAAAAATCCCTAATAAATAATTTTATTTTCCCCCTTTATTTTCAGCTATTTTCAATTAGCCACTAACTAACTTAGAAGTCTTATATGACCTCCTTTAACACTGTGTGTCTTTGGGCAGCTAACAAGAATTTATAAGAATAGCAACAACACCTATGAGTAAATTATATACCCGCAGCCAATATAATGCAATAGCTTAAAGTCTGACTCAACCCCCATCCCCCAGAACATGCAAATTATTATATATAAAGAAGATACACAGAAACAAATATGTGAGGCTGTAGTGAATCATTTGAAGGTAACAATACTAGGAACAAAGACAACCTGCCAAAAATACTTGTCATGTTTGCACAAGGTCTTTTATAACAGTGCCAGTTTAAGAGGCATTTAAATGGCAGATATTCCAGTTTTCAAAAGTAATTTAGATTCACAAATAATAGCAGTGTTTTGAGGCAGCCTTCTATGTGAAGACCAGGTGACTTATCCTGAGATTCACCATGTTAGAAAGTCTACCTACCATACTCTTTTTGTCTGCTTTTTGAATTGTGTAACCAATAATGTTGGCATTGCCATCATCTTTTGGTGGTGTCCATTCCAAAGCAACATTTTCTCCCCAGACATCTGCAATTTTTACTACTTGTGGTGGACCTGGACGATCTGCAGCAGTAAAGAGGAAATATTAACAGTATAGGTAAAAGTCATTTTTCCAGCTTGTCTCCATTTGGCAGGTTTTAATGTTCTTTTAAAGTATGTATCAAGTTTATAATTTTTAGGTGGCCAAAAGTTTTGTAAGGTGGCATTTCCTGCTCCTGATTCCTTCATGTGACTTCTCCCTCTACTTCTGAGTGACAGCTCAACTTTTCACACTGCTCTAAGTGCATCTGAAGATAATTAATGTTTTCCAGCTCAAAAAAATTCACTCATATTTCGCCACTTTTAACTCCTTCAGTCACATCCTAGGTGACATGGCTCTCCTTTTTAAAATTTATTTTACTTTATCAAACAATTTTCAGCCCACCTTGTGAAAATAGCAGCAAGATACAAACAAATTATTTACTAATCTTTTGATGCTGGGATGGCCAAGAATTGAAGGTTAGGGTAGTCAAGGTATTGCTACTATGATATTGTCAGCTTCGCACTGAAATATCATAACCTGGCATATGATTATGGTGTCCTGCCTGAGCAGGGTGTTGGACTAGAAGACCTCCAAGGTCCTTTCCATATTCTGATATTCTGTTAACCCTTTTCCAGTGACATCTGTAACAACTCATGATGATGTCAAAAGAACATTCTGTGTCATCACATTATCACGTAAATGATACCAAGACATCTTGATTTAGGGATGTTTGTATGTAAATTGCACCATTTGTGTGATACCTCATGTGTCAAAATTTGTTCTTCTGTGAAGAAGACATCATTGGCTTCTCTTCTCAGAAACTATATTTGTTACAGGCAACAGTTTTAACTGTTAGATTGTAGGCCTCTCCTATCCAGACGAAAGGTAGCTTTGGTCTTAACTCTGGTTTGTAGGGGCCATAGATAAGAAAGATATAGTACTAAGGATCATAATATAGCTTATTTCAAAGACTCCAGACTATGGACTTAATCCAGCCCTCCACAATTTTTATCTTGCTCCCTATATAAAGTACCCTCCATTTTTGTTATGTTAAGTCAAAAGTGTTGTCAAAGTATTATAGCTAACAGGTCATATTCTACTCAGGTAGAATTTCAATACATACCAACTATTTGAATATCTATTGTGGCTTTGTCCACGAGGTTATCTACTTTGACCTTCATGTCATATTTCCCAGAATGGCTCCTCTCTGCTTTTCGGATGAAGATGATGGAATCATTTTCACTGTTGCGGATATTAATTTGGTTCTTGTCTACGTGGGTACCATTTTTCTTCCAAGATACTTTTGGTCTTGGCCTTCCCTGTGTAAGAAAAAAAAACAACCTGACATGTATCTGTTGAGATATTTGATTATTATTTCCTTTTAAAGATATTCTTTAAATATGTTTGAATAGCAGAGAGCTGCAAATTAAAGCCAGTGAGCTGCTGATTGAATTAAGCAGATGGAATATAGCAATAGCAATAGCATATTAGACTTATATGTCACGTAACAGTGCTTTTACAGCCCTCTCTAAGTGGTTTACAGAATCAGAATATTGCCCCCAACAATCTGGCTCCTCATCTTACTGACTTCAGAAGGCTGGAAGGCTGATTCAACCTTGAGCCGGTGAGATTTGAACTGCTGAATTGAAGCTAGCAGTCAGCTGAAGAAGCCTGCAGTTAACCACTGCGCCACCTTGTCTCTTGTATGTTTATAATGTTTAGCTAGCAGTCTTTTCTAAACTGGCTCCCTTCAGTTTGTGCCACTGTTGAAGTCCACACAGCTTGCAAGGGTGAGCATTTCTCCACC